CAGATTTGACTTACAAATTGTCGAAGACAGTATCTCTGAAGGAAATCCCTGTCCATGGAGTCCCAACTACTAAGTCTACTTTAAAAGCAAAAGTTATTTCCTGTTGTGACTCAGGAAAAAAAATTCCACAATAAATTTACCATGTTCCCAAATATTCTGCTTTACAAAGATTATTTGATCCTCACCAACACTCCAATGAGTTTGCTATCAACACTGATGTTTAGAATGTTACAAATTTTTGTCATACTCAGTAAACCATTCAAGAATTCAAACTGAAGCAGCAGGAATCCAGGTCACTGACATGAATTAATTGTCAAAACCCTGGTCAGTCTTCATATACCATCTCCGCTAGGGTCTCACTCCTCTAAAGACAGATGCATTCAGTGTTTGAATCTTGAGGCTGCTTTAATTATTTCAACTGTTTGTTCTCTTGGGTCTTACCTTCTTATTCTTCAGCAGATATGGATGAAAGAATGTTGCAGAATTTATAATGTAAAGACCCCAAACAAGTTTATTAAGACAAAGAAACTGGAGCTAAAAAAAAAAAAAACCCCAGTAACCACATATCTAGTTTTTCTAAATGACACTGATACAGTTTAGTAAGACAATTTGACCATGGTGACATAGCCAGTTAGGAGCACAAGCACCAAGCTAAAATCTTTTTGAAGTCTAATTGCATTAAAATCCTCCCTTTCAAAGGAGGCTTGTCTTCAAAGCAAGGCCTACAACACTAATCCTAGGATTTCATCACTGGAGGAGTCTATGTTCTACTGATTTGTTTTATGTATTTACATTTAGAATTTTAACTTGCTCAATGACTTGGGATAGTTTGGTAAAAAGAACATACAGTTAACTAATTCCAGTGGCCTTCAACCTACTGAATTATATTCATTCTCTATGCTATTAATCCACATTAAACAGACTAAACCTAAATTAAAAACTTTAGTACTTGTTAGAAATAATATCTTTATTAGCTGACCAAATAATCACAGGACAAATGATGTCTTCAGAAGTCTAGAACTAGATTACTGACCAACTAGAAGATAAAATAATTACCTACATTTTTAATAGCAAAAATAATGCAAAGAATCATGGTTTTCTACTGATTTACCTCAGAATGACTGGCATACCTGAAAAATACTTCACATGGTTTTACTTCAGAAGAGGGAATTTGTTAGCAAGATTACATAACAGTATATTTGATGGGAATTAGGAACAGACCTATATATTCTTGTATGACCTCAAGTCACTTAACTAGTCCATGCCCTAATCTGTAAAGAGAAAACTCTAAAAATTAAATGCTTATGTGAAACCATTTTGAAAACAAAGTTTATTAATACCACTCTAAAGTATCTGGAGCTCATATTCAATTGTTTAAATTAGGAACTTAAGGAAAATGTAAAGCATGTTTTATAAGTACTACTATTTTAAAAATTGTCTGAGATTCCAACATCAAAATCAAATAAATACTGAATTATACAATAAATTAAAATCCTAAATTATCATCAGGAAAAAAATCTAATGCTTAGAGTAAAGAGAAAAAATGGCAAGCTTGCTATAGCATTCAAGACAATGAACAGAGAATTGGATTCTAATTCTAGCTCTGCCTCTTGCTATTAGTGTATAGTTAATCACTGGCAATTTTTTATTTCATTGTGTCCATTTCCTTATCTGCAAAAATAGAGGATTTGAAGGTTTCTCAGCTCAAAAAGGGATCTCTATGACCTAAAAGATACCTTATGATATATTATTTATCGAGAATACTAAGAAAATATCAATAATCTAAAAAATTTAAGATTTATGGCAAGGAGTTATTAGAGACAAATTATTTTCCGAAAACTCTAAAAATGAAATATCTTGTCTCTTTCCAAATACTTCAATTTTTCATATTTCTGTATAACTATCATAATTTTATTATAGCATTGAGCTCTTACTGGATAAGTGTCTCATCATTAGACTTAATACTATGCTAAACCCTCACTCTAAGAAATATATAAACTAGGTGCTTTGGTTCACACCTATAATTCCAGCACTTTTAGGAAGCAGAGGTGAGAGGACTGCCTGAGCCCAGGGGTTTGAGACCAGCCTGGGTAACTTGGCAAGACCTTGTCTCTACAATAAATTAAAAAATCAGCCAGACATGGTGGCACGTGGCTGTAGTTCTAGTTACTTGCAAGGTTGAGATGGAAGAGGATCACCTGAACCCAGCAAGTCGAGGCTGCAATGCCCGTCAGCATGCCACTGCACTCCAGCCTGAGTGACAGTGAGACTCCAACTCAAAAAAAAAAAAAAAAAAAAAAAAAAAAAAGAAATGTATAGGTTAAATCAGGATATCGTGGTCCTCTTAAGGCTACAATTGATATCCTTTCCCCTTATTCCCCTTCCCATCCTGCAATTGCCATGTGTAAATCGATCACCAGGTGAATTCATCTGCACATTTTCAGAATTCATAGGGATAATTAACAATAAACCTAAAATCTTATTACTTGAGTGACACACTACAAAAACACAAATACAGGATGTAGAGGACTACTCTACCCAACTGCTGTAGACTTATGTATAAAGTTTTTAAAAAGCAGTACTTGGTTCCAACCATGGAAAATTCAACAGGGATGGGTAGACAATAGCTATATAATTTTAGAGCTCTATAGGTGATCCTGACACTAACCCCTGCTGGAAAAAACCTTCCTCTAACAGCAACTGACTCCATATTCTTTGATGAGCTACCTATAATTACAATACAAATCAATGTCTTCTCTCCTGAGATATGAAAATAATGTAGGTTGCTTTATCTCCCTAAAGCATTCCTAAGTCTACTTTAACAATGTTTTCCTATTCTACAGTGCTTTCTCTGACACTAAGTTTACTGTTTCAGAAGCTGGTATTATCAATTCCTCAAATATCAGTTTTATAAACTGATTTTCAAAGAGTGTGACTGATTTCTAAAGAGTGTGGAATTTTTTCCATAGGGACATCTAAAAGATTAGATGCCATTAGATATAAGACCAGAAAAACCTCAAACTACCCAAACACATGGCAAATTACAGAAATTACTGCATTCTATAGGTATAATTTTTCACACACAAGATTACAGAGGAAGCTGTTGCTTTTTTCCCCTACACATTTATTTGTCTTCACCTAACTCAAACTGAGGTTATTGCTTATATAAATACCTTACAATATGAACAAGATTCGTAAGTTTATAAAAGATAGACATGAAAATGCCAATCCCTAAAAATCACTGAAGAGCTTGAAATTAAGCCTAGATGTAAATCTGGGGACTCTATTTTATCTCTATTAAGCTTAAAATATTTATATAGTTAAATCGAAGTTTAGAAAGAAAATAGTAAACATTTTTTTTCCTTTTCCTATACTTACCACTATTACTTGCAGAAGTGTTTCTAACAACTATTTGTATGAGCCTTTTTCATTGTTGTTTGATAAATGACACCAACACATATTACTTTGCTTAAAAATGAAACAAAGCCATTCATCTTGTGACTCATTCCTAGAAATATGACATCTAAGGTCATTCTTTGAAAAACCGATGTTGTAGTTATCACCTGCATACATCTGAGAGACTATTTGGTCATTTTGAATCACTCTGCCTAGCCTTTCTTTCAAATGAGGATCCAGTTAACAGCTGTAATTTTATTAACTCCTAACAAAGAGGTGAAGTGCATACCTTCACTGACCCAAAGTAACTAGTCAATTTTGTTTTCAGAATAATGTGCAAAAAGGAGGGAGGAAAACAGCACAATCAGTAGTTTTAGCCCTTTGGACACCTTCAGGAGGAAATTTCCCATCTTGCCATAATGTAGGCAGGCTCTGAAAAATAATAAACACACAGCGTTGTTTTAGTAACACAAGAAAAAATTTTCTTTTGTGATTACATTTCTTTTGTGATACTGTCAAAATCACTTAAAAGACCCGTAACTTTAGTTTCACTTACTTAGAAAAAAAATTACTTCAAGAAGTAATCATATATATGGAGTACCATATAAATTAAACACTACATATATTTAAAATAAATTGGTGATCCATACTAATGAACTTAACGTCTCTGCAGTATTTTAGCATACACTCTAGGCTTGTCCAAGACCGCTGTTACTCCGGAACCTGTCGCCAGACGTCAGTAGACCTATCGACAATAACACCACCCTTAGACATCACTCTGCTTTCGATAGTAAGTGAACAAATGTACTTCTAAACCTGTGTTACTCCTTTAGGTCGCTCCTTGTCTTTTCTTACTTGCAGAGCCCTTTCCAGTCTGGCTATCTTCCAACAACGATTTCTTTGGACCCCTTTGCAAATCACTCCTGTATAAAAAAAATCAGGGAGGGTGAGGGTCTGAAACCTTAGGGGAGCGAGAAAGAGGGTGGAAAAAGAAATGACAAGACAAAAATAAATGTGGCAAGGAATAGTCCGAATCCGTGGAAGTGGCCTTCTCCGAAAAAAAGTCGAGGGTCGCTGCCTAGGATCCTCGCACCTCAGCAAAGCAGGTCTACGAGATACGCCAAGCCCAGAAGTAAACCGATTCCCTCAATGCCTCAGTTAGAAAATGAAGCAGGAGACGCAGGGTCCAGAGCAACCCCCTCTGAATCGTGAAGACGAGGCTCAATGGGCTTCTGGATGCCGCTTCCAGTCGGACCCACCCTGTATCAGTCCCCAGCTCGGCCTCCACCCCCTGGCTCCTAGGTTCGTGCCCGAGGCTCTACGGTCAGCTCTTTCTCCACCTCACCGTCCCCATTATGCTGCGACTCGACTCCCGCGCACCCTAAAAACCTCTGCCCGGGTCCGCGGAATGGTACCAGCACTTCCAACATGGCGGCCGAGTCCACTTCGCTCTTTCGCTCTGGGCGCGTCCGACCTTGGTGCATTCTGGGTATTGTAGTTCCGGTGATAGCCTAGCTGTCCCTCCAGGACGTTAGAAGACTACAATTCCCAGAGTGCATCGCTCCCGAGCATGGCTATTGGGGCCGTTTGGACTGAGGGATGATGTCATTGCAAAAACCCCACTGCATTCATTGTGCTACGGTCTCTCCACCCCCTGCTGCTGCTGGGCTTGCGATTGCCGCTCGCTCCAGCTGAGCTAAGAGTAGCAGCAGCACCAGGGCAGGGACTGACTCCAGCCCTTGGACTCGCAGCACCTCCCCTTCCGTGCGTGACTCATCCGCACATCATTTCTGTTTATGCCTGGGGTGGGGAGAAAAATCCCAAGCCAGGTGAGTGGAAGCGATTTATTCAAATGGTTCTACCAAGTTATTCCTCCCGCTTTAGTTCTCAAGGCTTTCTTTTGGGAAGACGGGGGCGGGGGGGATTGGGGAGGTGCTCGCAGACGCTGCTAAGGGAGACGCTCTGTGCAATTTGGGTCACTGCAAAGAACAACTCCAGCAACCTTCCCTCGCCAGAGGACGGGTGCCTGCCAATTCCCTAGTCGCAACTCCCCTCAATCTTTTTGAGGCTGGAAGAGGGGGCTGGGCTGGGAAGGATGTTGGGAAGCGCTCTTGGAAAATCAGAGGAAGGCAGAGGTGGGGGACTGCAGTCCTGTCACATACGGCCCGAGTGCTGAGGTTTGAGTGGGAAGGGGTGATGCGTGGGGAGAAATGGAAACAGTGATTGAATGTGGTCGCACTACTTTAGAACATTTCGATGTCGCTTGGATGAGCACACATTATTCATTTTTAAGATGAACGTGCTTCTTCTGAGTAGTTTAAGTTTTGTGGGGCTTTATTTTACGTGTGTGTGTCTATGTCGTCTGTCTCGCCTTTTCTGCTGATTTGAGGTGACAGTGTCCTTTAATGGTGCACTCGGTGGCAGTCAGAAACATTTCACGTGTCTGGCGAAGGTTCTCTTAGGCTGCTGGAAGCAGCATTTTTTGTTAAGTGTTTTCCGTTCTCCAACTGCAGGTTTCAGGATTGTTTGAAAGTGAAGCCGACAGATTTGTGCTTGTGTGTTTTAAATTACATTGCAATAGGCTCCTTGCTACTGACAATGGTACCATAATGAGTTGCCGTTTCCTGAGGCACAGTCACTACTCACAGATAACGGTTTGGAGAGAGGATTGATTAGGGATACTGGGTTCATTTTAACACATTAGAGAAACGGAAAGTTAGAAGTGCTGTTAACCTTCATTTGCCATTGCTAAAAGGCACCCAGGGAAGGAAGGGTAATCCTGGCCCGGGAAACCAAGAGCATAGTAGTGTTGTTTTGTTATTGTTGTCTTTAAATGAATTGACATTTAACAGGACAGAAAACATTCTGACTTGCATGACATTGACTCTCCTCTTGTAAGAGTTATAAAGATGATTAGTGCAATAAATATGTTATTTTGTGAGAAACAGCTGGCTGGCCACAGAACAGATGGGGCAAGTCTTAGCTGGGAAATGTACAACCTTGGAAATGAATGGACCTGGGGTCAACCACACCCCCTCATGGAATGTCAAAAGAAGGAGAAATGCCAGAGTATTTGCTTAACTCTAAAGTGCTAAACCTTTTCTTAACTGAGTCGGACACTGGGGGAAAGTCATTAATTACTGGTTGTCTTCTGCTGCTGAACCAATTTTGTTCCTTTTAACTTCAAAGCCTTAGGTCTCCAAAGTTGTAGCTGGGTGATACTTTGTTAAATGCTGCTTGTTGCTGAATGCAAAGGACAGTCCATTTTATAGACTTTGTAGTAGAATGATTTATTGGGACCCAATGAACAGTTTTGGATGTGAGAAAAGATCAACAGTCGGCCTTTGCTTCTCCCTACATCTCTCTGTTGCTTCCTCTCTGCTGTTCTGGACACCTTACTCTTCTCTCCTGTACTTTCTGTTCTCTCCCCTCCACACCCACATCTCTTGAAATTTTGTTCTTTCCCTGTCTCTTCATTTGCAGTTTATATTTTTCCTCTCTGTTTCAAAATATTATCCTTGTCACCAGCATATCACATCTCTTTCTCTGAGTCTCTTTGCAGTCTCTGAACGTCCTCCCTGCTCTTACCTCCTCCTCCTCACCCAGGAACTCTGGGTGCATGTGGAATGTGTGAATGTTTATTCAGAGTCCTCTTTGAAGAGACTTTCTTTACATTTTTTCTTTCTTGCAGTCTGTGCTTGGCAAGATGAGCGGCAACGAGCCTGACTCCTTGGCCTGGTTTGTGGTTTCTGTGACAGACGTGATTTAGCCCCAGCAGCATGTGGACAATTAAATGTTGCATTTGGGCTCAAGTCATTCTTCCTTTCACCGGCACCTGTATTAAGAACTGCCAATGGCTTAGCAAGGTTTTTAAATGCTTTACATGAAATGTTCTCATAATTCCCAAAGAATAAATAGTCTCCAAATGGCTTCTGCCTCATTTAATATATATATTTTTCTTATCCCTGCTCCAGAAGGAGGTGGGAAGGTTGTCTACTCCCTTCTCTCTCTTCCTGTTTTCGGTTGATTGCTAAGGAGCAATGCAGGTGGTCAAACTACCCATTTGCCCATTAGTTTTGTTGAAAATACTTGGCAACAGCTTTTCTTCCTGTTGTTTCTTCTCCTTTGTGGAGGAAAGAAGTTTGTTGCTTTATACCCTTATTTATTTATTTATTTATTTATTTGAGTTGAGTCTCACTTTGTAGTCCAGGCTGGCATGCAGTTGGCACAACCATGCCTCACTGCGGCCTTGATCTCCTGGGCTCGGGAGATCCTTTTGCGTCATCCTTCTGAGTACTAGAACTATAGGCATCCACCACAATGCCTGGCTAAGTTTTTGATTTTTTTTTTTTGTAGACACAAGGTCTCACTGTGTTGCCTAGGCTGGTCTCGAACTCTGGGCTTAAGTAATCCTCCCACCTTAGCCTCCCAAAGTGCTGGGACTGTAGGCAAGAGCCACTATGCCTGGCCTATTTTATACCTTTCTCTCTTTTTTTTTTTTTTTTGAGCTGGAGTTTCACTCTGTCACCCAGGCTGGAGTGCAGTGGCATTCTCATGGTTACCGCAGCCTCGACCTGCTGGACTCAGGTGATCCTTCTGTCTCAGCCTTCTAAGTAGCTGGAATTACAGGCACACACCACCACGACTGGCTAATTTTTTTGATTTATTGTAGAGAAGAGGTCTCACCAAGTTGCCCGGGCTGGTCTCAAATTCATGGGCTCAGGTAGCCCTCTCATCTTGGCCTCCCAAAGTGCTGGGAATATAGATGTGAGCCACCGCACTCAGCCTGTACCCTTCTCTTAAAGAGAAGAGTGTGGTAGTGGTTATATCTGCTTGCTTAACAACAGTGGGACTCTAGGTATGGAAAGTCTAACTGCAGTCCATTTGGAGGCAAACAGTGTGACAGGCAGATTCAGAAGGTGTACTTCTCTTGTACCTCCTCTTTATTCCTAATTTTTTTTTTTTCTGAAATGCTCCCTCACCTGCTGAGGTATTTTAGTGTTCTAGTGAAGAGAAATGGGCTGAATGGAGGGTTAGATTTGGTCCCATCAGGAATGTCTTTGTGACCTTGAATAACTAAGCATGTCTTTCTGCTTCAGTTTACATATTTGCAGAGGATAATGATTATTGTCCCTTGGTTTACTTGGCCTAAAGTTATAGCCCTCTGTAATCTGACCCCAACCTATCATTCTGACAGATAATAATAATTGAGCAGCTACTGTGTGCTAAGCACTGTGGGTATATCAATGAAAAGAAATGCTTCTTCTGCTCTCATGGAGCAAATACTCTAACAGGGGAGGCACTTAATGAACAATTCCAAGAACGATGAATACCACTTTCAAAGGGAGGTGCCTAACATGGTGCTCTCCCCTTGTCTGGGGCAGTCAGGGCAATCCTGTAGGAAGTGACATTTCAGGAGATTTTTGAGAGTGATTGGAAGTAGAAATTCAGGATGGCAGTGGGAGATACTTAGAGTGGGACAAAGATGGTTTCTGGCAGAGGGACGGTTTCTGGCAGAGGGAATTACATGTTCAAAGGGAAGAGTAGTGAGTAGTGGATTTGAAAGGAGTTTAGTCAGTATGTGGAAGCAGAGCAAGGGGAGGTATACCAGAATGAAGGAGTAAGAGGCTGAAAAGGTGGACTGAGGCTAGACAGTGGGCAGTTCTCTGGGTTACAGGTGAATTTTGGTCTTTATTCTAAGGGCAGTGACTACCTAGTAAGGGCTTTAATTAGCTAGATGAATGGCATGTGTAGAATGATATTGAAAACATCAGTCTGATTGTTAAGTGGAGAAGGAATTGGAGGAAAACCTTGGCCAGAGCGAATATGTGGAGACCAAGTGGCAAGTCATTTTTGTAGTCTACATGAGGGATGACAGTACTTAGATTTAGGCTGGTGACAGAGGATTTGGAGAGAAGAGAAGAGATTGGAGAGGTGTTAAATTTGAAAGTTATAATTGATGAGATTTATTGATTGACTGAATGTGGGAATAGGGAGAAAAGGAGTCAAGAATGACTTGAGTTTTTTTTTTGTTTTTTGTTTTGAGCAGTGGGGAATGACATTTACAGAGAAGAGAAAGGGAACACTGAATAGGGACCAGGTTTTCTTGTATTTTCAAGAAGGGAGGACTTTTGGACATGTAGAGTTTGAGGCTCCTGGAAGACATCTAAGATCTTTCTCTCACTCTTCCTGTCCATGTGTTGGATGTGGCATGGCTCAGTAGAAGAGCGCTCTGGATGAGGCTTTTTAAGGCCTAGGGACTGCTTATCTATTACCTGTACAATGTTGGATGTGTCACATTTTATTTTTCTTTTTTCTTTTTTTTCTTTTTAATTTTGAGTCAGGGTCTTACTCTGTTGTCCAGGCTGGAGTGTGGTGCACAATCATGGCTCACTGCAGCCTCCAACTCCTGGGTCCAAGCGATTCCCCTGCATCAGCTTCCCGAGTAGCTGGGATTACTGGCACTCGCCACCATGCCTGGCTAATTAAAAAAATTCTGTTTTTTGCAGAGATGAGGTCTCGCTCTGTTGCTCAGGCTGGTCTTGAACTCCTGGGCTTAAGTGATCCCTGCCTTGGCCTTCCAAAGTGCTGGGATTACAAGTGTGAGCCACCACACAGGTCCTAGCATCACATTCTTTTTCTGAGGTTTAGTTTCCTCATCTGTCAACGTATTTATTCCACTAATTTATACTGAGTTATATGTGCACCATGCTAAGAAAATAACATTGAATAAGATAGTGTGTGTTTTGGAGGAATTAACTCAGGGAGACAAACATAAATAATCACATACAGAGAGATACTTCAGCAGTGCTAGGAGAACACAGCCCCA